TCATCACCTGTAACCAAGGAAGTCGTGGCCTTTTTAAGCCCATTAACTTTAATAATTGTGTCGTGTGCCATTATTTCTGCCTGGGGGGCGGGGCGGGAACTCGCCACACAACTGAACCTGAGGGCTTCTCCATGCAGGACCCACAGACCTTAGCTGCAGGAGGACAGGGCTGGAGGAAGACCTTTTCTTCATGCACTGAAATGCACAAGTCTCCTGCTCCACCAGATCCAGGCCTGCCTCCCCTGGACTTTTGCCTTTGCGCATCCCACCAGCTGGGAAGCGTGACTCCCCCTCTTGCCAGCCACTCCCTGGCTGCTGTTGAGTAATGCGTGAAATACGGCCACACTTCTGGGATTCGGCTGGTGGCATCGCTAGTGACAAACGGCACCATAAAACACCGTTCATCTTCACCGCTGCCAACTCCCTTAAAACAAAAGCAAGCGCAGACCGTGCGTCTATTGCAAGTTCATCTCCTCTTATGGCCAGCTGCCTCGGGAGGCCCTGTTGCAAAGGAGGCAGGCAGCAAGGACGGATTTTTAAATAAATGTTATCAGACCAGCTCCTTCTGCCCTTTTGTGACCTTTCTTCCTATGATGCATTTCCTTATTCCAGAGGCTGAAGCTTCCTCCCTCTGCCCAGTGCCAAAGCACCCCACAACTCATTGGCAAAGGGCATGGCAAGCCCCCTCTCACCACCCCATAGGGGCAAGGAAATGTGTAGCTGGACCCAGGGTAAAGGCTGGTGCGAGAAGAGGGCAGAGGGAAGGGTCTGCTTTTTAAACTGCCCGAAAAGATGCTCACCTTTTCCTTCGATTGGGAAAGGGGTTTGCAATGGCTATGATGATGACATCTCACAATACAGTGGTACCTTGGTTCTCAAACTTAATCCGTTCCAAAACCAAAGCGTTCCAAAACCAAGGCGCGCATTCCCATAGAAAGTAATGCAAAATGGATTAATCCGTTCCAGACTTTTAAAAACAACCCCTAAAAAGTCGTTTAACATGAATTTTACTCTTTAATGAGACTGTTGATTCATAAAATAAAAGCATATTGATTCATAAAATGAAAGCAATAATCAATGTACTATCCTATAAAATAAATAAGAGAGCAAAAACAAAAGTGCCAAACTTAATCTGTTCTGGAAGTCCGTTTGACTTCCAAAATGTTCGAAAACCAAGGCACACCTTCTGATTGGTGCAGGTGCCCTGGAAACAATAGCCAACAACCGCAGCAGACATTCTGCTTCCAAAAAATGTTCGAAAACCAGAACACTTACTTCCGGGTTTTCGGTGTTTGGGAACCAAGGTGTTTGAGTACCGAAGCATTTGAGAACCAAGGTACCACTGTACTGTCACAACTACCCCTACTGTTGTTAAATATTTGTACAGGCGTACTTAAAAACACAAACACATGCATTAAGGACTCAAAACAACCACTTGCCAAATCCTAAAACAACAAAAAGTTTTTAAATCTGCAATAGGCAGAGCAGCAAGGTTCCAACACTGCAAGCCTTTCTAAACTACAGGACATTCTGGAGTACCCTAATGCTAGCACATTGATTCATGGATGAGAGTCCACTTGCAACAGACAAGCATGGCGACACCTACGGAAGATTTTCATAGAACTGTAGAATCACAGAAGGGCTGGAAGGGATCCAAAGGGTCAAGGAGTTCAACTCCTTGAAATGCAGGAGTCACAGGTGAAGAAGCCACAGGTCATTCCACCTCTGCTGAAAAACCTCCAACGAAGGAGACTCCAACACCCTTCCACTTGCCATCAGAAAGTTTGACCTGGTGTTTAGTCCGAATCGCCTTTCTTGTTGTTTGAAGCCATTGGTTCGTGTCCCACTCTTCAGAGCAAGAGAAAAATTGCTGGCTCCCTCTTCCATGTGACAGCCCTTGAGATATCTGAAGGTGGATCTCATATCTCCTCTTTTCCAGTTAAACATACCCAAATCCCCCAACCGTTCCCCATAAGGCTTGGTTTCCAGACCCTTGATCATCTTGGTTGCCCTCCTCTGCACACCTTCTGGCTTGTCAACATCCTTGTTAAATTGTGGAGCCCAGAATTGGATGCAGGACTCTTGACCAAGGCAGAACAGAGTAGTGCAATGACTTCCCTTGACACTAGACTTCTGTTGATGCAGTCTAGAAAAGTGTTAGCCTTTTTTGCTGCTGCATCACACTGTGGACTCATGTTCAGCTTGTGGTCTACTAAGACCCTGAGATCCTTTTCACATGCACTGCTAGTAAGCCCAGTGTCTCCCATCTCATATTTGTGCAGCTGTTCCTTCCTGCCTAAGTGCAGAACCTTACAACTGTGCATTTGTCTTGTAAACAGAAGCATTTTTCCACCCGGCTCCTTAAAAAACAGGAGCCTTCTCCATTGTGGCAGCATGACTGAACAAGCTTGATGCTTCAGGAAATCTGGAATTTGGCCTCAAGGACAGAGAACAGCAGAGCAGCATGGCCTGATCGCACGTAAGCGTCATCCAAACTGTGACTTGCCATGAAGAAGAAGGCATGCTGGCGGCCAGAGAGATATGGTGGCAGTTGTCACTCATTCCCCACTGCTGGTGCTGCAATATCAAGAGCTAAGCCATTGTTTGTCAAAGAACCAATGGACTTCAGAGTTGGAAGAGTCCCTAAGGACCGTCTAGTCCAGGGACAGCCAACTTCCAAGAGACTGTGAACTCTACTCACACATTAAAAAACTGGCAGTGATCTACCCCATTTTCTGGGGGTTCAGGTCAAAGTTGTTGAGCTTTTCTTAGGGGACGAAAAACCGCTCACTGACAGATGGCTAATGAAACTGTCAGCGAGGCTTCCGCCTTTCGTTCTAGCGATCTAGAGGGCGGGGCGAGGGGGTGGGGCCGGATGGAGGAGCCAGCAATCGAACGTAATCTGACTAATTTTCCCAGGGATTGACCAATAGATTGCCTCCCCAAACAAGGCACATGCGGCAAGGCACACCTTGGTTGCAGGTGGCGGCTCCCAGTAAAAAGGTAAAAAAGGGTAAAGGACCCCTGGACGGTTAAATCCAGTCAAGGAGACTATGGGGTTGCGGCACTCATTTCACATCAGGCCAAGGGAGCCAGCGTTTGTCCACAGACAGCTTTCCAGGTCATGGGGCCAGCAGGACTAAACCACTTCTGGTGCAATGGGACACAGTGATGTAAGCCAGAGTGCACGAAAACGCCATTTACCTTCCAGCCGGAGCTGTACCTACCGTATGTTCCGGCGTACAAGACGACTTTTTATCCCTGGAAAATCTCCCCAAAAGTCGGGGGTCGTCTTATACGCCAGGTATACGCATTGGGAAGGAGGAGAGGGAGCCGGTGAGCAGAGGCGCCCCTTCTGCTGTCGCTCCTCCTCCCTCCCCACAGAAGGGGACACAAAAATCCTTCCGAGCATGGTGCTCACCCACCCACCCGCCAAACGCCTTGCCTTGGGCTGCTGCTGCGATGGCAGAGGCAGCGGAGGGGTGCACGCTCTGCCCCTGGTGGCGCTCAAACTCTATAACTCTAAAACTCTAAAACTGAACAGCAAAAGTTGGGGTTTGTCTTATACGCCCAGTCGCCTAATACGCAAGAATCTATGGTATTTATCTACTTGCACTGGTGTGCTTTCGAACTGCTAGGCTGGCAGGAGCTGGGACAGAGCAAGGGGAGCAGGGATTCGAACCGCCAACCTTCCGATCAGCAAGCCCAAGAGGCTCAGTGGTGTAGACCACAGCACCACCCGCTCCCCCTTAGCTCCCAGTACTGCAGCGTCAAGACCAGTGCAGAAGGCAAGTGGCTATTATTGGCTCTCTTGGTACCAGCATGTTTACACATTTACAGTAAGTTTTAGTTTAGTTTGATTTACACTGACATAAAAACCAGGCACTTCTGCAAAAAACAACCCTGGAGGGACTGTGGACCGCAGGGATCAGGCAGGAGCAATGCAAGAGAGCAGCTGATCCCCAAGCAACCGGCATGCGAAATGTAAGAAGGCACCCTGCGCTGATGTTTCTGATACAACCAGTGGGGTGTAGTGGTCAGTGTGTCAGACTAGGACCTGCGAAACTGGGGTTCAAATCCCCACTCAGGCCCTGGGTGACCTTGGGCCAGTCCCCATCTCTCAACCTAACCTACCTCACAGGGCTGTCATGAGAATGAAACGAGGATGAGAACCATTTACTCCAATCTTTGCTCCTTGGGGGGAAAGGTGGCATAGAAATTGTGATAGGAATTTTATGGTCTTCGATATATGACAATGTTCATAAGTGTACCAACCAAGCACATACATAGATCAGCACAGGAAGACTGACCTGGAACCATTTCGATTCCTAAACTGAGCAAATGTTTTCTCTGCAAGGTCAAACTGGAAAAGCCTCCCCATCGTCTTTTCCTTCACAAATCCTGTCTTAAGGGCATGTCTGTGTTTGAATAGGGTGTGAGCCTGTGACCTGGCCCAGGAACTAAGTATTTATCACTACAAAAGAATGGCCGGGCTCCCCAGGCAATCCAATCAAGTAACCTGCCATACAGGAGATAAACAACAACAGGAGAAAAACAATATTCAAATTTCTTAGACCGCCTTTTCTGTGATGTAGGTGTGATGTATCTGAGGGATGGTCTTAGGTTACACCCCTTCTGTGATGTATGTATGATGTTTCTGGGGGTGGTCTTGATCTACAGGGTGGCAATTTCAAAAGTCTTTATAAGGCCTTGCACACAATTTTTCTGGGTCCTTCCTCTCTCCTGCAAGTGAGGGGAGCACCCTGTTGCAACAGATCAATAAAGGCCAAGCCTACAGGCTGCTGATTTGCTCCAAGTTATACTGGTTGGTGTCTTTGTTTTTGTCCAAGGGAGCCCTCAGATTTTTCCGTTAACAGAAATGTAACAGATAAACGCAATAAATAAAGAGCGCCTTTATCTAGCACAGAGGAGAACCCCAGTTCCCACGGTGGGCAGATTTGACCCTCCTCCTTTGCCGGCCACGCTCTTCCGGGACTCACCTCAATCAGGAAGTCTCCCGTGCGAAGTCCTGCTCGCCAGGCCACACCTTCCACGTCCACGGACTCCAGGTATTGGAGAGCCGGGAATGCGGGCGTCGGGGTGAACTCCTCGATCGGAGTCTCCGCTGAAACAAAGAGAGACCCTCGGTCAGAGGGGAGGAAGCTGGGATTTGCACGTCCAAATGTGGGGAGGAGAAGAGACAAGGGCCAGCGAGCGATTCCTGGAGACTGCAAAATGTTCCCAGGCCACAGTTTACTCAGCTGCCAGGCAGCTTCCTAGCTACAGTCAAGGCCAACACGAAAGAGAAGGTCTTTGACATTTATTATTTCAATGTTTCCCACTTAAATGGAAGAGGCAGTTGTTGTTACAGTTGTACCTTGGATCTCAAACGCCTTGGCTCCTGAACAAATCAGCTCCTGAACGATCAAAACCCAGAAGTGAGTGTTTCGGTTTCTCAACGTTTTTTTTTGGAAGCCAAACGTCTGACGGGGCTTCCAATTGGTTGTGGGAGCTTCCTGCAGCCAATCGGAAGTTGTGCTTTGGTTTCCAAATGTTTTGGAAGTCAAATGAACTTCCGGAACGGATTGCCCGTTTGATTTCCAAGGTATGACCGTATTATCATTATTATTGTTAAGCAAGAATTTTATCGTTCATCTTTGATGTGTTTGGGTTGGGTGTTTTTTTTTATAAAAAATATCAATCGGAATATTTGTATTCTTTGTATTGTGTTTATGATGATTGTGTTGAATCTTAAATTGTAAAACCCAAGTTGGTGACCATCCCTGCCTCCTGTGTTTAACTATGGACTATACTAAGGTTAAAGCTTACTGGGAAATGATATATAATGAAATTAAAAGAATGTTTAAAATAATGTTTGTAAAAAACAACAACCAGAAGCTTTTCTTTTGAGCATTATAGGGGCAGAACTACCTAAACTGTATAGAAACTTATTCATGTATGCTGCTACAGCGGCAAGAATGCTACTCCCCCCAAATGGAAAGAAGCAGAAGTCCCAGCAAAGGAAGAATAGAGACAAAAACTTAGGGAATATAAAGTAATGGCAAAACTTACCAGAAGAACAAGAAATCAAGATAACCAACTTTTTATAAAAGAAGGGAAATGGTTTGTTGAATATTTACAGATAAATTGCAAACAGATAAGAACATTGGCAGGGTTATCGTGATTACCTGCAGTTTTATAAGAGTATATAATTAAAGCAGATGAATAAATGAACAAATTAAGTTAATTTGGATATGCAGAAGATATTAAAAATAAATTTAAGGAACTGCAGAAAGATGGGGAAGGAAGTCAAGATTTGAAGTGTTAAAATGATTGTAAAAATAGTGAAATGTATGAACATGAAAAGCACAAATAAAATAAAATAAACTATGCACTGCGTGAAGGACTTTTTTTAATCTGTCCCGAACCTTCCAGCATTCAGCTTCATTACATGTCCACAAGTTCTGGTGTTAAAGCATGTTGAGAAACGCAGATGTTCTGGAGTCTGTCCAAGGAACACTGGCTGTCAGAACCATTTAGACACCCACCCGATGGCTTCCATCACGGTCTTAAAGAATCCAAAAATGAAACTGTTGCTACTTCAAGGAAAGTATCTAACTTAATTGCTAAAATCTGCCTCCATGGTGGCTGGAAGGTAGCCATGTAACAAACTTATTTTGGCCAGGGTGGGATTTAGGGGAAATTCAAAGATATTAGGTAAAGGTAAAGGTACCCCTGACCATTAGGTCCAGTCGTGGCTGACTCCGGGGTTGCGGCGCTCATCTCGCTTTATTGGCCGAGGGAGCCGGTGTGCAGCTTCCGGGTCATGTGGCCAGCATGACTAAGCTGCTTCTGGCGAACCAGAGCAGTGCGCGGAAACACCGTTTACCTTCCCGCGGGAGTGGTACCTGTTTATCTACTTGCACTTTGATGTTCTTTCGAACTGCTAGGTTGGCAGGAGCAGGGACCGGGCAACAGGAGCTCACCCCATTGCGGGGATTCGAACCGCCGCCTTCTGATTGGCAAGCCCAAGGCTCAGTGGTTTAGACCACAGCACCTCCCGCATCAAAGATACTACTTTCAGCCTAAGGTCACATTCAGGCTCTCAGGATTTGCAAGGAGCAAATGAAGGGCATTCCAGAAATTTAGATTTCTGCAACACAACTGGATTACAGAGCTCTGTTGACCAACTGCAACAAACCCACTGTGATGGCCTGGGAATCCGATTCAGAGGCTGAACCTGAGGAATCCCAGCCTGCACAGGAGTCCCCGCCTCCAGGGCCAGCTGAGCTAGGGCAGGGGCTTGAACCTGAAGGGCCCTCACCTGTGCCAGATCCTCAGGAGCAGACACCAGCTGAATCCGCTCTGGCTCCAGAGGTGATGGAGGACCCATTGCCTGCAGGTGCTCCTCTCCCAGCCCTGTCAGGGGAAGGTGAAGTTGCCTCTGGTTCAGTAACCCTCCAGCCTCTCCGGAGCTGCAGAGGCTCAGGGCAGAGAGGCGGAGGGAACTAAATTCTCACAGGAGGAGTACTCGCCTTAAGGCCAGGAGAGGCGAGTCACCTGTGGGCCGGGGCCGCCCTATGCCTCAGAGGAGATAAAGGCCAGTCAGCCCAGTCCCAGGTTGTGGGAGCAACTTCGATGGTAACCTGTTCCTGCCAGCACCCTGTCCTGCTCTTCCAGAGTTCCTGACCACGCCCGGCTCCTTGCCTTGGACCCCGCTTCACCCTTGACGGACAGCCTCCATACCCTCAACCTAGGACCGGACTCAGACCACGCTGCACGGTAACCCCCCCCAGGACCAGCACACCCACTTAAAACAACAAATGGACCTTTAGTGATTAGGGAAGGGACATTGAAAAGTGGCGATGATCAAATGATGAACAGGATGCTGTTTTAAAACCCTGTAAGCAAATCAGGATGGTTGCTCGTTGGCATGTAACCTCCCTGCAAGCAAATCGGAATAAAAGTTTGATAAAGGCTGGCTGTGATCTACCCTCCGCACAAGCCTTGTGCAAAGGAATCGGGATGGATGCTGAATAATGAGGTCGACTGGAGGAGCCCTGATTCCTGCGCCGTATGAAGTGGTTGAAAATATTTCTAAAGGCTAGAATTGTTCCACAGCATGGCTGCCAGCAAAGGAAATGCACCTCTCAAAAGGCGTTTAGCATCCTTTGAAGGTCTCAGTTAACGCGAAGAAAGAGGCTCCGGCTCAAAGGTGCGTCGTGGAGAAGAAAGGGGTCCAGGAGGGCGAGAGGCGAGGGAGGGAGGCGAAGCTGCCTTTGAAAAGGGAATGTCTTGCCCCAGTGAGCAGAGGAAAGAGCGCAAACGCTTTACGGGGAAGAAAGGAGGAGCACAAATCTGAAAACAAATAGCAAGTGCCTCAGAAGCAGGAAACCATCCAGAGAGGCAACGCGGAGGGGGTAAGAGAAGGAGCTAAATAAGGCAGAAGAGCCCAGCAAATGATCTGAGATGGTTGTAATGGCAAGATATGATAAAGAGATTAGCATAACCGAAGGACTGCAGGAACTCTACAATTCTGTGAAGAACCACCTGCAACAGAGGTTAGCCCACAAGCTAAAAAGGAGTGGATCCAGGGGGCTTTTGGGAACTCTTGCCGAATTTATGAACCAGGGATGGCGAACCTGGGGGAGGGGAGCTCCTCCAGACGTTGTGGAACTGCAGCTCCCATCATTTTGACCACTGGCCAGCCTGGCTGGAGCTGGGGTCCAACGACGTTTCCCGCTCTGGACTAAAATATTTCCCATTCTTGACTAAAATGTTAAATTCCCATGCAGTCACTGAGTTAGCACCAAAAGCTATCGGTCTTCTACCAAAAGCATTGCCGATGACCCCCAAGATACTAGTCCTCATCGGTCACTGCCAACCCCATAAGTTTATATGCAAAATTGGATTATTACTTTTTGCCTCGGTGAGTCTGGCTGTTAACCCAAAGGTTGGTGGTTCGAGCCCAGGAATGGCTATGGGCAAGATTTCTGCATTGCACAGGACTCAGGGTCCCTTCCAACTCTAGGATTCTCTGATTCAAATGCCTGTTTCTCCAATTTGGAGAGATCCTTTTGGATCTTTGGTGTCCCTTTTTCGTTTTAATCCTTCTCAATCACTTGAGTGCCCGATACGTCTATCTGATGAAATGTTTGTTTTGTTCATAGTTTTTCACTGTTTCCAAACACTTTGAAAACTGTTGGGTGAAGGGAGGATGCCTTTGTGATTGACATGAGGGCTGGCCAATCAGTGCTATGGACTGCCGGCTCCAAGTAGAGGCAAGGCAGCTTTGTAATTGACAGAAAGGGCAGCCAATTGGCGCTGTGCAGATTTACGGTAGCTTTGACCCAGACCAGGCAAACAAAAAAACCCTAAAGCCTGAGACCTTTTGACAAGCCCCAGTTCCAAAGACTGTCTTGCCCTGGGGCTCAGCTGACTTCCACTAGGATGGCTGGCAGAGTCCCTGATGCCCTGAACCTGTCCTGGTTCCCACTCCATGAAGAACTTGGAACTCAGGTTGCTGTTCCTACCAAAAAACTTTTAATGCTCAGATCGGTGTAGCACAGAGGCAAAATGCCGGTTCGGCGGCAAAGCAGGGGTTGCACACGGTTAATCAAGCAATGGCAGGGACCAATTTGAGCAATCTTTCGTAATACGGTGTGCAAGTCCAATATTTGGCGTCCCCAAATGGATCTTCTCACATATGAGTTGTCTCAATTTTGCCTCCCCACCCCCTCGGCTTGGTGTCCCGTGAGGCAGAACCACCCACACCACCCTAAATCTGACTCTGGCAATGGTGTTGATCCCACAACAACCTGCAACCCAGTTTTGTCTTCTCTGTCCTGGCCCAGTAGCTCCCTTTGGGCTCATGACCTCCAGTCTGGCTTCCAGCTTAGACCAAATGCTGCCCTTCTTGAATTGCATAGCAGTTTCATTGTCCAATTGCATGCCATATATATACATATATTTAGAAAACTGCTTTGCATCATTTTGCAGCTGGTTTTGCAAGCTGCTGGTTCTAATTTCTGAAGGGTTGTGGGGGTTTTGGATGAAGAGTGATGGGCAAGAAGGCTGCACTTTTGATGAAGCAGCCGTGAGTCATCGGCAGGTTCAACCTCGGAA